CCATACAACAACACAGCCCTTACTGTAGCCTGGTACACACGACCCTTAAGATCCAGTGAGATGCCTTTTTGACGCCACAAGTGACGCAAATTAGCAAACGTGATTCGAGCCTTTGAGATTCTTGCACTGACTTCATCAGACACAATTCCGTCAGAGCTAATACAACTACCGAGGTATGTAAAGTTTCCCACAATCTCCAGTAGTTCTCCTTGAATTGTAAGGGATATGTTCGCTGATGGCACGTTCTGAAGCAGGACTTTGCACGTTGAAGGTGCAAGGCCCATGCCAAAAGATGGTATGATGGCGGTCAGTTTATTCAACAGGGTTTGTGCTTCGCTGTGGTCTTCAAAGATAAGGGCGATGTCATCTGCGTACTCCAGGTCGGCGGGGCTCCCGCCAGCAACAATTTGGACACCGGGGTTTTGAAAACCATCCAGTGTTTGCCTCATTATTTCATCGATGACGAATGACCACGGTAAGGTCCAGTCTCTTCGTGACGGACATAACGGGCATCGGAAAATTAGTTTTGTCGGCTGATGTAAACACACCAACTTGAGACTTTTAGAGGCACCGGTATTGGCATTGGAATTTCCTGTTCAGGATGGAATAACCCAAGCCACATGCAGCAAGCTGCGGCCAAAATGGATGCCAAATGACCTCTGGCATGTCAAGTTGCTCATGCTGTTTGATCGCTGCAATCATTGGTGTGCGCCAAAGCCGATCTTGTTAGTTTTCTACAGACAACAGATTTGACCTTCGATAATGCGAACTATCTCGCCGAGAAGACACGGGCTGCGCGGGGAACCCGGGTGAAAGGAAGATGGGAAAGCGCGGATATAGAAGGTGCCATAGAAGGTATATCCGCGAAAACTCAGGTAGTGGAAGATGACTACCTTCATACTGAAGGCGTACGACATCTCTGAAGTCTCCAAGGATCAGTGTGTTGCTCAACCCTGTAAGCTAACCATTGTCTCGCGACAGTATTCCTGCTTTGCTTTGCTGAGTGGTTCACATACTACATTCGACGTTTGTGAATTTCTCGGGGTACAGCTGTCCATGATGGATAGTGGAAAGCGACAACTGTGCCGACCTTAATCGAGATGAAATTCCACGGGGCAAGATATGAGTAAAGTCCAGACTGTCACAAGTCTTTTACTCAAGGTAGAGCCCCGTAGTCTCCACACGCTTAAGTGCAACCCATGCAGCAAGGCTTCAAAGTTGCCATCACGACTGATGACTTCATCGGTACCCCGCTGGGAACGCCACAAGCTTGCGGCTTAGCATCACTTAGGGGGCAGATACCCTGGCTGCTCCCATCAGGTTTTACTCATCTGTCGCTGTTCGACCCAAGGTTGAAAACCGGCGCATAGGATACTAGGAGCCACAAGAAGACAAAGGATGATATGCTATTCCGGCCAACCTGAAACCTCACATGCCAATTTACTGAATGCCTGATCTGTATCAGAACGAAGCTGGTCTAGGAACACATACTCAAGTGATTGTCGCGTTGAGTAGTACTGACATATACCGACGTCGTCAAATTATCCTGTACAGTACGGCAGTGGAGCATCAGTTTTGAACACTGATGTCATGCTGTCGATGATGACAGTAGGGGAATTCATTTCAGCCACCCTTTGGAACTGCTTTATTCATCATTCTCTAAATTTGAACCTCTGGAACTTGTGTGCTCAACCGTACAGCAGCCACCGGGTACCTTGGAACGGGAGAAATTCCGGTGTCTTTGGAACAAAATAAAGTTAGGGTATCTGTAGCAGATCGAGTTTCTAACATTCAACTGCTCTATGTTTGGTCGTCCTAGGTTGACCTGAGCAAACACTGCGCTCCAAACTGGGTATAGCTACGAACTATGACTGCCGCACAACAATCGTCTAATGGCGGCATACGTGTCGTGTGGAGCGAAGCCCACGGTAATGGAACAAGCCATCGGAGCCTATGAAAACAATGCCTCATACTGTTGATCGAATCAAGGAATACAGTGAAAAGTAGAAACTTAAGGCTACATAACCGACAACCTATTCAGGGGCATGTCTGAAAATCCAGACCTTGTATTTCTTAACGAGGATCAACAGTCTGCCTGAGTCATACGTACGAAAACGCCAGAATCGAACCAGGGCTGCAGTGATTCCTTCAGGATGTCCCGAGTGGCTTATGGTATCAAAGTAGAATCCATACGGTCCTATTGATCTTGGCTTCTAATTTAACTTTGGGACATGTATTTACTGAGTGCCACGAAACAAAGCTAGAAGGTATGGAGTCAAGTCTACCGGTCTTTCCCGGGGACAGCTGAAATTTTCATACGTATACTACTGGGTACAAACAAGCCAGGGCCACGGGAAAACATCTGAAAGATCGATTAGCAGACGCCAGTCACTGCACTTGCGGTATAGAACTGGTTCGCCTATCTAGTGCAGATCATGCTATCGTGGCTTCAAACACCGAGTTCCTCGGCACCCACCGAGAAGCCGTCCCCTGATCCAGACGGACAATATGACAAAGCGTTAACGCATGACTACGCCAGCCCTTCGGCGATGCAGTGATTCAACCACGTTATCAACCCACCGTGGCCGGGTGAAAGAGATATATTAGTTCACTGGTCGGTAACGGCCTCAGCTGTCAGGTTGCGATAAATCAGTGGATGATCGGCCTCAGGTAGGATACCAAAGTATAAGCTTGCAAGGTAACTTTCTGCACATCTCATTGAAAATAAGTGAATTCAATAAAGGCATATAAGCTCTCAATCACCGAAGAGCACAACATAAGTCGCTTCTGCAGTAATTTTCAACAGCGCGAGGAAATCCTGTATTACCGTGATGGGTCCTTACTTGTTATTTTAAACCGAATATAGAGGAAGGCGTCAGGAAAACCGATCCGGGTTCTCACCGGCCTAACAAATCACGCTAGACTGTCTCCAGCTCTACAGACCCCTGGGCATTAATGTAATGTACAAAATCACAGCTTCTGAAAGCGTCATAAACCAAACCCCCCTCGTGAAAAAAAAACAGACAGCCCCCAAGTGACCTTTTTGCTGTCATATTGCGAAGGGAACGACTCCGAGTTAAATCCGATAGAAAGGAAACCGCCACATTGGAATTACCGTCTTCGATGCGTGGCTATATGTAACACCCACCAGCAAACAATGGGCATCTACACCTTTACCCTATCCTCTCACTACAACTATCAACACAACTGGCACAGGTATAGAGGCTAGGGTACAATGGGAGCGGGAAAGGAATCACAGGGGCTGGACTTATCTATAGCCGACAATGAAATCCAGCTCATGTTGCTCCTGGCAGAAAACTTCCAACAATCTTATTGCAGACCTGCAAAACGCATATCGTTACACCGTATTCCAAAGTAGCGAAACTCGATTGGTTCATTTTCGTTCGACGGAACTATCCAAATTTCACTATACAGGAATGTAGCCTAAGTTCAACGATATTTCGACTTCGCAATGCGCCAGCAGCAGCCTAAAGTTAGTCGTCAGTGAACATTAAATACATTTAGAGAAGCATCGCCTAGTTAAACGGGAAGCCTAAGAATAATCGTTACGAGAACCTTGGAGCCAATAATTGACAATGGGAACGATTCAATGCTACAATAGGGTATATTTCACAATGTTGCGTGCGTCGAACTATTGTTACAAATGCGCTATTTTTCACCATCACAGGCCGGTTCAGATCGAGGGTCAGAGATGTAGCGGCAAAAAGACCTAACGATTGTCTCTAGTTAGAATGCATATAGGATGAGGAACGCCATCATCAAGCAGAAAAGACCCATAGCTTCGCTCAGGGCGAAACCCAGGATTGCGTAGGAGAACAGCTGCTGTTTTAGGCCGGGATTCCGAGCATAACCAATCACGAGATTCCCAAACACAGAACCGATCCCAGCACCAGAACCAGCAGCACCAACTGTAGCCGCACCGGCCCCAATGTACTTGGCGGCCTGATCAATGTCCCGCCGCACCAAGGACGTATGGAACTGACTTGTCTGAAGGGAAGGAGCAACGGCGACCGGGATGCACTTAAGTGGCTGGCCCCTGAGTATTGTTGAGAACACCGGTCGTAGGGCGAGACGCGTCTGACAGATTGCACCAGGAATCATCTAAAATGGTAATGATAGTGAACACATGCATTAGTATCATTCAGTGAAACAATCAATAATTCACAAATAGGCGTGATGGGACCATTGTCATGACGAATGGTTTTGCGATAATATGAGTAGCCACCTTATTTGGCCTGAGTTTATTATGTCGAACATTTATTCAAAGTGCGTGGTGGATGAAAAAATTCAGCTGCTGTACCTTTGTGGGGGATAACTACCATGTTGCACGTAAGAACCACGAGGGCTGAGCTACTGACGAATTCCCCAAAGTAGAAGATTGAAAACAGGGGCGTTCGATAAAAGGAGGGTGATACTGCCAGGAAAAAAATCATTCACACCCTTTCGGTGCCTAACTGACACAAGGAACTTTTATCGCGAGAGGACGGAGACCATTCGGTCACTTCTAAATTGTTCAGCCACGGCATCCTTTCGGTGCCAAACTGCCATGCCACCCGAAGGTTGCACGAGGGCTGGAATACTGCCAGGTTGCCCAAGCCTAGACAACGGAAGTCGAGAGGCAGAGGTCGGGCTCGAACCACGGACCTTTCGGTCAGTAAATTCGCTCTTTAACCACTTGGGCCATCTCGACTCCAGGAAGCCAGACCTCGTTCACGATCGCCCATACGGGCACGTGATTCACTGGCCCTTGCAAATGAGCAGTTTGGAAGTACTGAAATCTCGGCTAGTGGCAACTAAAAAAAGCATGTGAATAATATAACACTGAAGACCGATTATCAAAGAACTGATCCATCGTACTTGAATAATAACTGATCTCTGCACCAGGACCCAGTCTGTTAATCTAGAGCGTACAAACCGAAAAATGGATGGCCGCGAAACATGATCCAAGAAGAGAATAGTTACTACAGAATATCAAAAATACTTCATAATAACTCGCCTAGATAGGGGGAAAACATTGTGAAACGACAATCCGACTAAAATCTCTTCACACACATGAACAAGCAATGAAAATATCTTGGAGATCAGTATTTGTTGTAAAGACTAGCGCAAGATAATCCCTCCGAAGAGCACTATGGAGAGGCTTTTGGATCCTTGATGGGGTATTTATTAGTCAGTTGGCGAGGAATTTCAGACTGCTCAGTTAGATGGAGACAGATGAATTAGTGAAGCTGGGCTGAGGAGCGAAGAGGTGTACGTCATCGTGCTGCTACTTCGCAATTAAATTGTCGATTCGAGATGGCACCACTGCAGCACCTAAAAATCCATGTCACTGTAATGGACAACACAATGGATGCATCTTCGTGCCGCTTCGAATGCACAAACAGACCGGGAGGGTTTGAGCCCTTTCGCTGTCAATGGACCTGTGCCAGAATGCCGGTAGAATTGACTAAGGTTTTTTTCTCGAACAGACCAGGCGTTGATAAAACCCTTACGATCGCTATGTACAACATTCGGGTAAAAAATTACGATGAGTTCATATAACGCACTCCGAATGAGCAAAGATTGGTAGCCAAAATAGATAGACCCTAAATTGCATAGAAATATATGAACACTGTAATGAGTACTGGAGTAAAAGCCGTTAGCTTTTCGTGTTTCCGAAACCGCACTTAACGGTGTTCTTAACTCAACCACTATTCTTCACCCTAAACTTCAGACTCCACACGTATCAATCCGGTCAAGCAGAGGAGTGGGTCAGACGGACGGATCTCCAGATAGTAGCCTTTCTGATGAGTTACACTGTCCGCCCCTTAGTTCATGCCTCAAAACACACGAGGGAACACATTCCCTGTAATTGGCACAGGCCATGGGCAAGACAACGCTACTTATGGTGGTCAATCAAGTCCGTAAGTAGTTTCGGCTTACAATGTTTTTTAATTAACCTCACCAGGAAGAGCAAAGCTAACATGGGCAAACAAATGCCACCAATACCCTGTTTGAAAATCCCGAAGAAACCTACCCTACCACAAATATTCTTGGATGCCCACACACCTGGACGTGGTTTCAACGCAAATTCTACTGAAACCAAAAGGTCAACTATACAACTGTATAGAGCAGTTTTACCTCGGCTCCCTTGGACGGCTTCAACGTTGGATTACTGTCTCTGGACCGGTCCTTTCAAAACGTAACGATCGAGCCACTGATATATGACACTGGCAGAGGAGGTGGAGGTTTTCTTGTAATCCACAGAACGCCCATATGGCAAGCACCAAAAACATCTCTACTACGCTCCTAAGGGACATCCGATTATTCCGATGCCGAATTCAAACCAATACATGCTGCTGAACAAAAGGAACTACACCTGACATCACCAGTCTACCGTGATTAATCAAAACCCAAAATCTTGGCTGCCGACAACGCAACCTCATCTTATTCTGATGCAACCCTAAGAAATCACTTAGGTACTCTTGGACAACATCCACATTATCTGCGCAACAGGGTGAACAACTCCGTGTAACTATCATAGCATTCATGGTCTTTAATAAACTCTCGTTCACCGCAAGGTAGGGTGAATATCATGACACCATAAACCATACTTTTCATATATCATTGGCTCTTAATTACTACCCTATATCTTCATCTCATGTGCTACCGATGAGAAAATGGAAGAGACTCCTACCATGGTCACCGCAAGGTAGGGTGAATATCATGACACCATAAACCATACTTTTCATATATCATTGGCTCTTAATTACTACCCTATATCTTCATCTCATGTGCTACCGATGAGAAAATGGAAGAGACTGGATCCTACCATGGTGTGAGGCTTTGTGTACATCTGCGACCCACTGCGCTATATTGGGGGGGGGGTGTCCATGAGACATTCGCAATCTCTCATGCCAGCTTGGTCAATCGTTGGAGGGCTGACGAAAAGTCTCGTGGCCCTCCATGTCAGTGGTTTGAACATGTGGCGACTTGTTCTGTGAAAGCAGAAACGCACTTGCATTTTATTTGCAAGCACCATCCACGAATCAGCCAGCACCGACATCCTCGGGTATCTCGAAATAAATCTTCAAGCCTCGACGCCAGTTTATCTGACTGTTTCCAATGTTCACACTATGAAGCAAGCAGGACAAGCTGCTGCTGCTCTCACACTGGGAGCCCTTGCAATTGAGGTGTGCTGCATATCAGAAACAAGAATTCAAGATGCGAGCACAGTGGTTGAGCTATCTGCCCCATCAATTCCCGCTTGCTACCGATTATGCACCTCTGGCGACCCACAGGGTGCTGCGGCAGGATGTGCGGTGAGTAATATCCGAAGTCACCGGCGGAACGATCCGTGCTTGACTGGATACCCACTGATATTCGCCTGTGTGCGCTTCGTCTAGCAAAATCTGTGAAGGAATCTAAAAAGCGAGAAGTGTCGTTTCGCTTGCGCCGCAACCGACGCTAGCGGTGACGCTATCATAGACAAGTTTTATGGCTTGTTACGGTCAGCTAGAAGCCCAGATATCGCTGCGGTTGTCGGAGACCTAAATTCACAAGTGGACAGGTTTAGCGCATGAGACTCAGTTAGGTGGTTGACATGAACTGGACTCGGTACGTTCGGACAATGGTGAACGACTGCTTCAGCTCTGACCGCAGACTGTTTATGCTATGCTTCCGAATTAGCCCAAGTCATGTGGCACATGCTACTCTCTAACGTGCCGGCTACGAACTCAAATTGATCGCATCGTTATCAGTTACCAATGGCGCCGATTAATGACTGCCGCTCGTCTTGGAACACATATGTGGATTCCAATCATGCGCTCGTCCGGAGTCGCTTTTCCATTCATTTACCATAACCTGTACGGTGCAGAATGGCTTAAATAAAAGACCTATTAATCTGGATGTCAGGTGGTTTTGCGAGTTAGCTGAAGTCGTCCAACTGCTCCATCATCAGGTACGAATTCATACTGGGACAGCTACAATTTCATGAAGTATTGGAAGTTTTGCCTGTGGCACGGTGCTTCAGGCCCAATCAAGCACTGAATATCAAACAGAAAGGTGGCATTGCTGAATTTCAGGAGATATCCCCGCCAGTCTGGAACATAACTTGACCCGACAAATTGTAATACGTCAAATGTGCGCGCCGACCGTCAAAAAAACCGTTCGGCTGTAACACCCTTTCGGTGCCTAGCGGCTATGCCACCAGATGGCACGAGGGCTAGGATACTACCAGGTTGCTCAAGATTATACAGGGTAAGTCGAGAGGAAAAGGTTAGGTTTGGACCACGGACCCGCTGATCAGTAAGTTCGCGCTCTAACCAGAGTCATCCCGCGTTGCTTAGGCCGTATTGTACATGCCGAAGAGAATGCTGCTTTCAGTGCGGATTCAGAGTGGCGGCCAACCCTTGACCTGGAGGGATGTGAAAGAGATTAATGAAAAGTCCGGTTGCTGTCGGTGCTACTCTTCTTCCAGAATGAGGACCGCGTGATCCCCACTGCGCCTAGTTGGAGATGATATAAGATATGGCTGCTAATCGACGGCAATGGCGTTCTTGTTTCCCGTTTCTATCCAGATGGCCTGAATGAGTGTCTGGAGGTGTGAAACAAATAGTTCAACTGTACCACCCTTTCGGTGCATAACTGCCACGCCACCGGGAAGAACAAGGGCTGGTATGCTGCCAGGTTGCTAAAGCCTAGACCGAAGTTCAGGAGCAGAGGTCGGGTTTGAACCACCGACCATACACACTAGCCAATTGAGCCATCTCATCTCTATTTTTCTACTGAATAGGCTGCGATATTCGATGTGTCGCAGTATAATTTTATGAAGGACGCTGAGGTCGCTGAGACAGTCTATTCGGGGTTTTACTTTGGAAATCACACTGCTAACGGTAAGAATATCGCAATCCTGGGAGGTAACCCGCCCTACCCAGCGCTTTGTGCCAGCGTTTGAGGGGCAGACGATCTTTCGGAGAAAATATCGGGGTCTAGTCTATGGTATATCCCGCGTCAGTTGCACTCCACCTGGCTGCTATCAGAAGTGGAGTTCCACTGCAGAGTCTACTGTTCTTCGAGCCAGAAACTACCTTGGTTTATTAGTGCGAACACCGCATGTATAAAACTGCATCTTGCACGTCACGATGGCACCCTCGACTCAGCCGCAACAAACGTGACCCAATAGATGGTATTTAATTTTTGGTCCCGTACTAGGTAACGTCAGCTATATCTGAAGCATACCTGTGCGGGACTTTCATCGCTTTATGTTGCTTGGCTGAGATGTTTCCCGCGCAAGCGAATTTCGGCTTGTTTCTGGCTTTTACCTTCAGCCAAAAATGGCTTGCACTGCGATCGCCTTCTGGACCACAAACCGCGTCTCCGTCTACGGACTGATCCGCTGAAAATTCGATCATTTGGGAAGCTTTCTAGTACAGCAACCGGCTTCCTGAATGAAGTTTTCGAGGCATACAAAGTAATTACGTCGCTCTGACACAACCAGACCACACATTGCACGGTATATCACTGACTCGTGAAACATGGCTACGCAATCGCCACTAATACCTGCCCGGGCCTACGGAAGCAGTCGACTTATGGCTACAAGAAAATTTCTGAACAGCCTAAACAAGTGGTAAGACATCAATAACCAGACTCACTTCGTCAGCAGCTTAAGATCAAAACCGAAACCGCGATGTCTACCGGCGAACGCGCTCAACCCTTCGCGTAGGCTCCGTAAAACAAACCGATTGGCTTCACTGCACCCGGTTAGTAGACCTGCGTCCTGGCAATTAACAGAATATCAAGTCATTGCCTACTGATTCATCAAACACCAAAAGAATGAAGCAGCTTAGTCATCTGTTGCTTGTGTATCTCGGTGGGTGCGAACACTGAGCGTCGTTCAAGTCTCTAGGGCGACTTCAGATTTGCCGTCAGCGTAAGGTTGTGTTCAAGTAGAACATCAACTTAACTGGAAGTTCGTGAGGTCTCATTACTGAGCCCGGGAAAGGCGAACTTGAGCAGTGAGCTGTCGAAATAAACTTAATACCACCCAACGTCATTACAGCTGGGCGCCTGAAGCACCATTTACTTCTTGCGACAAGAGAATCGCGAACCAAAGTTGCCCCAGATGTGCGACCGCCGGTGGGGAAAGTACGGATAGCGATGATGTATAGCAAGCGAAGAAAATGCGGCGCCTTCCTGCCATCCACAGCTCAGGGTAGTTATTACTGCCGAGCAGATGCCACATTGGCCGATGCGCATAACTCCTTACGTCCACTGAAAAGGAGCAGCAACCGAATGATTTACATCAATGTGAGGTCAGCTTGTCGGAAGAAAAATCGTTTCGCCTGTGGCTACATACCAGCAGTAACAAGGCACCCACATAGTCTCCAAGATCAATAAAGGTACACATCCTTTGGCTTCAAATGAAGTAATCCAGCTCCCTGACGTCGCTTTAAAGGCCACCACGGTGTCACTTGTGGATATATGCATGAGTGAGTCTAGAGAAATTGTTCTGTTCTATTATTCAAAGCGATTGTGTCAAATAAACCAGCGAATTTGCTCCGTGGTGGAGTTCTGTTAAAAGCCTAATACGAGGAAGAAGGAAACAAACAAGCCCCTCCCCTTCTTGTCACATTTTCTTCATAGTTGCTGTGCGCATAAACATGGATCGGTTTCCAAGCCTCCATAAGTCCTTTCCGAAGAGCAAAATTGTTTCCGTGTTGTCCTCTGAAGGCAAAAAACTGGGTCGGGTTAGATATAGAAGACCAGCCAGAAAAGTAACAAGTCCATAATCAGCGATGAAACAACCGATTTTAACCTCCGACCAATCTAACAGTACTTCTGACTAGCGTGTAGCCGACAACATGTTTAGCCGGCCGACTACGGCTGCGGACGAAAGCCCGTACTCGATCATGGCCAAACAATTAACTGCCAACGGAACCTGCTTGAAGCAAATCTCCCCAGGACGAAACGCCCAACATGTGGAAAACTATCTTCGCTTAGCTCTTTAGCGAATAGGGTGTAGGCGATGGTGAACTACATACCCAAGTCACAAATTCCACCATGGCACTTGTCGGATATGCAGGCGCATGCAGAGGCCGCCTTTGTCAGCCCCTTTGCTCGACACATCCCTCCTGGTCACTGAGATGTAATAAGAGCACAGTTGAAGCGCGCGTCCACAAATTGCTTCGTATTTTTAACGAGTTATCGCATATTTCATGGTTGGTTGGCACTGAATTGTCGGCACCTACATCATATCAGGCACCCCTACCACTTTGATTTGGGTATTCAGCCAGTAAAATCCCTCGTCCAACACGAAACCTGAGAGCGTCGAATTACATGGGTAAACAGGACCCTAGTTTCTCCTGTTGTCCGCCTAACGTCAATTCTGCATCCTCTTGTAAGGCATTGTGGGCCGAAAATCCATTGCGCTTGACGATCCGCTTCCTGGTTTCGCCTACCGCTGCTACATGTTAACCGTAAGACGGCTTCTTCCTCATGCAAACATCTCAACAAGTTGCATCCAACCGCCACTTATACCATTTTGGCTGACATGTGCTTTAAGTGCTCCCAAGATCTCTTGGACTGAGTTCCAGGCCATCACTCGATGGACATTTTGCGTCTATCGACTCTTTTGCCGACTCAAGTCACACAGTACGGCACGTGCCAGAGCAACCGCCATATATGACATTAGCCCGCTTTATTGAAGTTGGCTATAACAATGAACCTGTAGGGAACCAATAATGGTATCCGGATCCTACAAAGAACATTATGCAGTCTTGTACTACACCACAGTGGCTTTGCCACATCCAACCTTGGCAAGGCAACCCTGCGAACAACCGACCTGATAATTCAGAAGAAGGGCATTCGTCGGCCCCTGTACAAGCCAGACCTGCTCTGCGCGTTAAGGCGAATGAGTTTCATGAAGTTATCGTGAAAAAACATCGTTTCGCCTGACGAAACACTTCTACACCATAATTCGTCAGTCACTCGATGAAGACAAATCTCTTTACGCTTAGAAAGAGCAACTGTCATGCCAAATTTAGTGGCCGTCTATCACCAGGCAGCTACCGGCATGTCAGCTTCTGCGCCGCGAATTGCGCAGATAGCCATTCTAAATCACCTCATGAGTAACATAATACAACGACATACCATACATTCCCCCCAAGACTACCCTGTGTGACTGACATGCTCTATTTTTGGACGCCTTGTTGTAAGACTAATGAAGGGTTTTTATCGAAATCGTTCAGTCGAGTTCACACACTGATCTGCCCCATAAATTCAAAGTTTTTGACATTGGAGGGGAGACTCTACGCAAGAATAAGTCTGTCCCTTCTAGTAGAAGCTGGTCAGTTAAATTCCGAGCAGCCTACTACTCTTCTGGACCGGTCTCTGTCTGAGAGCACCGCGGCTCCTTATTAAAAGCATTCTTCTTGGTGTGCTACGTCATCGGCCTCCCTGATGTGCTTTTAAATCCATCTCCATGTTCTGCGGATAGCCTAAAGTCATCGATAACTGAGGCCAGCACCTTCTATATAGGTTCCGGCGCAGCGTAGCAGCGGCTACAGCACCGACACCATGTTGTGAGTGGTGAAATGTGCGAGTACGAAAAATTGGCTAGATGGACGATCCGGATGGATGACCCGGCGCACCCCCCGTTTTACTCGCATGGACCTCCAGACCATGAATTTTATGTGGCATGCACAAAACCGCCTTTTAAGACGCCGACCGAATGGTCTGGTTATAACGCGAGAAGAGTGTAAACGCCATCGAGCGTGTCCACCGAGCATCTGCGAAGCTATTTGTCATCCGAAAAGTTGTCCGAAAATCTTCTATAATCTCTCTAGAGCATGGTTGCCCTCTGGAGCCCCGACATATACGACGCGCTTGGAAAACTTTTGATTGATGAGTTTCCACCGTCGGCTCGGCTACTGCAAGTGGAAACATAGTTGGAATATTCTCAGGATAGTAGCGCGCACTTCTGTTAGGCCCCTGTTCTTTTATTTGGGGAACAGCGTGAAATGACCCTTCTCCGGCAGTTGTCCAGGAGAACCCAGTTCGAGTCAACATTGGATGACATTTCATATAATTCCCCAGATGTCAAGTATTTTGCTCAGCACACGGAAGAGAAACAGTGTTGTTACGCTTTTATTCCTGCGTCTTTACTTTGAACGGGAGCTGCTGAACAAAACCAACGCTCTGCCAAAGAAGCCTCGTTAACAGTACTGATCTTGCCTGTCATTATGTGGATTGTTGAACACACAAGTCGGTAGCATTTAAAGTCACTCTGTTACTTGTGTTGATCTCACTGCAGCAGACCTGCGTGGAAAAGAAGCGTCGTTTGCTAATTTGCGGTTTGAGATCAGTTGGCACTAATCTCCTATTGAAAAATGAGTAAGCTAGGGATTTTATGCCGTTTGGAACGCGCTATCAATATGGTCTGCATGGTGCGCCCTTTATTTTGTTTTGGACGGTTTCCTACACATGGGTGCCTTTTTTATCCAGGTTTGAGTCATTTACGCGCTCAACTCGATCACTGGTATCAGGAAACGTTCGCCAGAATTCCCGTTACCAGACACCTATTTCCCGACTAATAAGTTCTTTGCTTTTTTGTTTTCTCCGTGTTATTTGCTTTTCTTCGTTTTCGATTACCTTTTCGGAATGTTTTAACTGCAAGCACATATCAGAAATAAGCGATCGCTTCAATATTTTCTGGAAAGACAATGTTCTAATTAATGTGGTCGTGTCAATGCATAATTGATTTTTAAGTGCGCATGACGTCCGCGTCGTCGCCTCTCGAATTGGGAGACAGTCTCAGGTTTCTAGTACCTTTCTAGAGATTTGCTTGCGGCAGTGAATAAAGCTATTGAAGTCATTCCTTGCAGTAGAGCCTGGTTAGGTGCAGAAAATGAGTAGAAAAACTTCTAATAGAAAGTCAGCACTGATGGTACCATCGAACATGCATTGGCTTACGTTACGTGCGAATTCATCTGTTTTAAGGTCGCTTAGTCGGATTCAGCCCTGAAATCAATGGTTAATAAAACACGTGATCGAGCATTCATAATTCTACCACCATATTAATACTCCTCCCAAAACTGGACGACAGAGGATGGCGTAGCCCGAATAAATGCTCGAGGGATAAAAACTAGTGGAGGTAGTTTTTGTTGAATACCTTAGCCCCTCAATAAGTGTAAAATTAGTGTTGGAGTGGAAGCTAAATTGTGTGGGTACCGTGGAGGCAGAAATTAATTGGCTTGCAACGGTTGATGGGGAAATAAATTTGCCACAAGCCATCAACAGCGCTGGCCAATAAAACTAACTCAAAACACACTGACTACTGTCGCATCTACTGGGTTTCTCAGACGGCAGAGGCATACGTTTATTTGGATCACCAATGTGTGTCTTTGAGGAATGGTGTGACTCAAGTGATGATTCGGGATAAGCGAAACGCTACCCCAAGTCAAAACTCTGGGGATATGATCGACAGTATCTTTTGCACATTTGGAAAGTGGCGTCTCTTAGCCTACGTCAAAATGATGGAGAGGGTCAGGTGGGTGGAATAATGGCCTAAATATTAGAAAGGCTGAGCACGTTCAAAGACGGGACTGCGCCAGTCCGCTGCAGCATCTATGTATCAACTGCAACGTGTTAAGTTTAGGAACTATAAGGAAGACCTTGTCATTTTATCCGAGCAAAATTTTCCACAAGGGCCAAGATTACGCTTAGTAAAGTGAGACACTAATTTGATGCATTCCT